AAATGTCCTGGGATTCAATCCCTAGTACCAAAAAATAAAAATACATTGAGGAATACAAAGTGCCTAAATTGTACTATGTCAATCATAATTGCATTCCTCTTTGTGTCCACAGTGGGAATTTGATGCATAAGGATTACAAAAATGAACCAAATAATTCCTCTAAAAGAGTTTTATTGTGTGTTAGATATCCAGACAAAGGCCTTTGAGATAGAGTAAGCAGCTGCAGCTTGTGAATGAAACCAAATACCTTCCTCTCAATTTAATTATTGGAATTGTACCAAGCATTTTACAATCACCTGAAGGAAGAAAAGCAAAACAAAGGAGACAAGAGAGCCACATCTGCTTAACTTACTCCCTGGGTTGTATTAATGAAAGTGGCACAAAAGAAACTACAAAGCAGGTACTTGTTGTTTTAGCCCAGTAATCTGGCTCAGTGGTCCAGGTGGCCTAACTGATGTTTTAAATTTTGTCTGGAGAATCATTTTCTCTATTGAAGGTATAGCAAGAGGTGGAGGGAGGTGATACAAAGGAAGCCAGGAACTTCTAAAGTTTTTAAAAATATATACTGTGTTTTTATAAATAAAAATATGCTTTTACTTATGTCTACGTATCATTTCCCAGTTATTAAAAGTAGCTTGCTACTAAGAGAGAATATACATATTCTTTCCTGGGTCACCACATGAAAGGAACCCATGGATAGACTCTTTACCTGGTGATAATAGAATTATAACCTTGAAATGTAGTAAACAGATGAAATAAATCCTCAAAGTCCTTTTAGTCCTGGAGTTACATCTTAGAGCATGATGTCACATCTTTTAAATGGGACAGTTTCACTAATAGGCAGTCAAGTGTGGGGAAGTGACTCTGGTAAGAATGGAATCCATCTGGTCTTCAGTTCTGAATCCCAAGTACCTACCTGTAACCCAGATGGATCACCTAAAGTCTCTGCTCCTCAGTTTTATCACTGGTAAACTAAGGGTTTTGACCTATTTAATCTTTATTTTTAAAAATATTTTTTTAGTTGCAGATGGACACATATCTTTATTTATTTATTTATATATGGTGCTGAGGATTCAACCCAGTGCCTCACATGTGCAAGGCAGGCTGTCTACCACTGAGCCCCAGCCCCAGCTCTATCCTATATAATCTTAAGTTCTAAAATTATGTGCCTCAAAAAAATAAAAATAAAAAGCTCATTGTTTCAGCTCTGGCTTTTTAAAGAAATATAAGGGACTTCAACCATAGAACTTTCAGCCTGTAGAAATTAGATTTAAAATTTGCCTGACATTTGCACCAGAGTTTTAACTGGACCAGTCTGATGGCAAAGCTATGCCACTAAATTCTCTACTGCTGAAAAGAAATGAAGGAATATGTGTGTTCCTTAATGGGATCAGTGGTACATTTTTGTCTAAGACTATAGAGAAGCACATTAAAAGCTGCAAAGTCCCAATGAGTTTCCATCCCTTCTCACACCAAAGTATTATTGCCTCAAGTCACATTTTCCCTGCTAAGGAACCTGAATTTCCTCTGCCTGATATTTTTCACTGACCTTCTAGAACCTTTCTCTATTTCCAAACGACTACCCTAGGGCTAGAAACAATTGGATTCCTCGAACCCTTTTTTTTAAAATTCTAAATAAGATTGTAAGGGTTATAATAGCAAAACCTATTTCAGAGCAGTAGGGTCAGTCAGTACTTCCCCTGGGCTTTCTAGTTTCTTTGGTTAGAGAAAATATCTAATGAGGACAAGGTCACTGGAACCTTTGAATTTTTATACTACTCTGTGATACAGACTGTATTCCTAGATTTGGAAACAAAAAAAAAACCCAAACAAACAACAACAACAAAACAGGCTCATTTATTCAGTATTAATTGACACCATTAACTGTATAGATAGATGCCAGGCACAGAAAAAATATTGATACTAATAAGTAATTTTGAGGCAATTATGATAGTCTAGATATTGTGATCTGTATGTTTTATGCACAGAATTTCATTTAGTCCTTGAAACAGCAGCTTGAAGACAGTAATATTATTATCGCCATTTTCATCTGAGGAAACTAGGACATGGGCAGATCAAGGAGTTTACCCAAAGAGGATGACTGCAGGAGTCAGGATTCAACCCAGAAAATCTGAGAATGTATAGCTACATTGGGGAGCCAATAATGAAGTGTCCACTACATAAAATTTCTTTAATTATGATTTGATTATAATACTCAGCATACAATTGTGATAAAGACTAAAACACTGCATTGAGGGCTATTGGATTCTATTGCAGATGTCAGAAAATGTCTCCCTGAGGAAGGGTCACTTAACCTGAGACATAAATGTTTGGAAGGAGTTAGGTAAAAAGTACAGGGGTGAGAACAGGAGCAGCGGCCTGCTGAGAGGCAGAGCCGCCCCCTACCCCCCGCGCCTGCCAGGTAGGCGGAACTGTGACCACCGACAGAAAAGGCCCAGTGGCCCGCGGAACCACTCCTGCAAGGTAGGCGGGTCTGCGACCCACCGGCAGAACAGGAGCAGCGGCCTGCTGAGAGGCAGAGCCGCCCCCTCCCCCCGCGCCTGCAAGGTAGGCGGACCTGTGACCCACCGGCAGAACAGCCCCAGAGGCCTGCAGAGGGGCAGTGCCGCTGCCTGCGACTGCAAAGTAGGCAGAACTGCGACCACCGACAGAATAAGCCTAGTGGCCTGCAGAGGGACAGAGCCGCCACCCGCGCCTGCAAGGTAGGCGGACCTGCTACCGAACAGCAGAACAGGCCCAGCGGCCTGCCGGCGTGGTATGCACATTGCCCCAATTGGAGGAGGGGCAGAGCCGCCACCCGCGCCTGCGAGGGAGACTTTGCAACTATACAAGACCAATATAAATATATAGGGGGAAAATTCAATAGCACAAAGTTTCACCAAGCAAAAAGGAACGCGAACAGTATGAAGAGACAAGGAAAGAAAGGACCACAAGCAATGCAGGTCAACTCAAAGTTAGAAGAGGTAATAGCTGCAGCAGATGGAATGTCGGATAAAGAATTCAGGATACACATGCTTCAGATGATCTGGAGTCTCAAGGAATACATCAGACAGCAAAATCAGACAATGAAAGATCACTTCAACAATGAATTACATAAACAAATCCAAGAAGCAAAAGATCAACTATACAGGGAGATAGAGGTTATAAAAAACAAACAAACAGAAATCCTAGAAATGCAGGAAGCAATAAACCAACTTAAAAACTCAATTGAGAATACTACCAGCAGAGTAGAACACTTAGAAGATAGAACTTCAGACAATGAAGATAAAGTATTTCAACTGGAAAAGAACATAGAGAGCTCAGCAAGACTGTTAAGAAACCATGAGCAGAACATCCAAGAAATATGGGATAACATCAAGAGACCAAATTTAAGAGTCAATGGGATACAGGAAGGGACAGAGTTTCAAACCAAAGGAATGAGCAATCTATTCAATGAAATAATACGAGAAAACTTCCCAGACTTGAAGAATGAGACAGAATCCCAAATCCTAGAAGCCTACAGGACACCGAATGTGCAAAATCATAAGAGATCCACACCTAGATACATTATAATGAAGATGCCCAACATACAGAATAAGGAGAGAATTTTAAAAGCTACAAGAGAAAGGAAGCAGATTACATTTAGGGGTAAGCCAATCAGGATAACAGCTGATCTTTCAACACAGACTCTGAAAGCTAGAAGATCCTGGAATAACATATTTCAAACATTGAAAGAAAATGGGTTCCAACCAAGCATTGTGTATCCAGCAAAATTAAGCTTCAGGATAGAAGATGAAATTAAAACCTTCCACGATAAACAAAAGTTTAAAGAATTTGCAGCTAGAAAACCATCTCTTCAAAACATCCTCGGCAAAACATTACAGGAAGAGGAAATGGAAAATAACAATGAAAACCAACAGTGGGAGGTAGGACAGTAAAGGGGGGAAAATAATCAAAGAGGAAAACAAACCATGTTTAGTAACAGAAATAAACAAATATGGCTGGAAGAACAACCCATATCTCAATAATAACCCTAAATGTTAATGGCTTAAACTCACCAATTAAGAGACACAGGCTAGTAGAATGGATCACAAAACAAGACCCAACAATATGCTGCCTACAGGAGATGCATTTGATAGGAAAAGACATACATAGGTTGAAGGTGAAAGGTTGGGAAAAATCATATCACTCATATGGACTTCGGAAACAAGCAGGTGTGTCCATACTCATATCAAATAAAATAGATTTCAAGCCCAAGTTAATCAAAAGGGATAAAGAGGGACACTACATACTGCTCAAGGGCATACACCAACAAGACATAACAATCATAAATATATATGCCGCAAACAATGGTGCAGCTATGTTCATCAAACAAACTCTTCTCAAGTTCAAGAGTCTAATAGACCACCATACAATAATCATGGGAGACTTCAACACACCTCTCTCACCAATGGACAGATCTTCCAAACAAAAGTTGAACAAGGAAACTATAGAACTCAATAACGCAATTAATAACCTAGACTTAATTGACATATATAGAATATACCACCCAACATCAAGCAGTTACACTTTTTTCTCAGCAGCACATGGATCCTTCTCAAAAATAGATCACATATTATGTCACAGGGCAACTCTTAGACAATATAAAGGAGTAGAGATAATACCATGCATCTTATCTGATCATAATGGAATGAAACTGAAAATCAACGATAAAAGAAGGAAGGAAAAAGCATACATCACTTGGAGAATGAACAATAGGTTACTGAATGATCAATGGGTTATAGAAGACATCAAGGAGGAAATTAAAAAATTCTTAGAGATAAATGAAAACACAGACACAACATATCGGAATCTATGGGACACATTGAAAGCAGTTCTAAGAGGAAAATTCATTGCATGGAGTTCATTCCTTAAAAAAAGAAAAAAACAACAAATAAATGATCTCATACTTCATCTCAAAATCCTAGAAAAAGAAGAGCAAAACAACAGCAAAAGAAGTAGAAGGGGTCTTAAGATGGACGCCGGGCAGCCGCTTCCTGACCGAAGAAAAGATGTGGAGTGGACTGCTGCCTCCTGGCCTAAATGAAAGTGATGTTGAGTCAAATTCTGAAGATGAAGCCACACTGGAGAAGTCTGAACTCGACTTACAGGAAAATAAAGAGAATGGGACTAATAGAGACACAGAAATCTCAAGTTTCCCAGCAGATGCACCAAAAACAGAAACAGAGGCCAATATAGATGCATATGAAGAATGCCCTTCTGGAATTCCCTTAAATTTGTGGAATAAATTTCAAGAATTGCATAAAAAACATTCTGAACAGAAAATCTCAACCTCAAGATTCAGAGGGAAAAAGAGAAAACGCTCCAGAAAAGATAAATTGAAGAATGAAAAAGAATCTCATAGTGAACAGCCTTTAAATGAAACCCAATGGAAGGAGCTTACTCAGTACTTTGGAGCCAATGATAGATTTGAACCCCCTGTTAAAAAGAAAAAAGTTGAAAAGTCAGGTCTTGAAAAGAGGATAGACCAGGCTGTGGAAGAATGGGATGTTGAGAAGGCTGAAGAACTCAGCAACCAGCTTGCTACTCGAGAGCTTGGTGTAAAAATTGCCAAAGCAATTGCCTGTCACAAGTTTGTAAAAGCCAAAAAGGAGGCTGAAAACTCTCAGGCTGCTCGAAAAAAGAAGAAACTTGCGTGGGGATTTGAAGCAAAGAAGAGATGGGAAACCAAAAGCAACATGGGATATATGTAATTTGTCAGAGTTCTTCAAGACACTTGCAGAAATTTACTGAAAAGATTTTCCTACTTAGGTTAAATATATCAGGAAATTGATAGAAGTAGAAAAAATAAGCATAAAACTATGGAGTTGATTATCAACTCTTTTCAGCCTTTTCATAAGGAGTTCTTTCTATTGAAGTGGATGAAATGAAGCATTTTATTATTTATGTAAGGAATCTAAGCATACATACAAGAAAAGAAATGGGATTTTATTTATTTATTTGTATAGACCTACAGTATAAAATCAATTTTGCTTTTCATGTGTTTGGTATAGCATAGCCTGTGAGGTCCTTGTACTTTACTTGCTTATCTGTTCTTGGCATAACTACACTTTTTTCTAGAATTGTGTTTTTAAGATTGGCTTTTGTTTATAATGGATTAGTTATAAGTGCAAGTAAGTCTCAATTGATGCTGTCTTTACAAATGACTTTAATTACCCTGATGTCATCAAAACAACTTTTTTATTTATTGGAGGCACTAGAGTTGATATTTCAAAGTCACATATTAAAAGCAATTGATATATTTTGCATACCTTCTGATTATTTTTGCATACCTTCAATTGGAAGGTATGCAAATACTTTAGAATGTAGTATTTGGAGGATGGTTTAAATTCAGCACGGCCTAGAAATGTTTTCCTAAATATCTAGTGACCTTGTCATTCTTTAAATTGTGAGATGATTCTTGGAATAGAAAGTGGTAAAATTATATTAGAAGAGATGGGAAAATTATAACTGTAATTATAAAATTATAATTATAATTATAACAATTATAACTCAAGATAACATAAAAAAAAAAGAAGTAGAAGGCAAGAAATAATGAAAATCAGAGCTGAAATTAATGAAATCGAAACAAAAGAAACAATTGAAAAAATTGACAAAACTAAAAGTTGGTTCTTTGAAAAAATAAACAAAATCGACAGACTCTTAGCCATGCTAGCAAAAAGAAGAAGAGAGAGAACTCAAATTACTAGCATACGGGATGAAAAAGGCAATATCACAACAGACAATTCAGAAATACAGAAGATAATCAAAAATTATTTTGAATCCTTATACTCCAATAAACTAGAAGATAGTGAAGGCATAGATAAATTTCTTAAGTCATATGATCTGCCCAGATTGAGTCAGGAAGATATAGACAACCTAAACAGACCAATATCAATTGAGGAAATAGAAGAAACCATCAAAAGACTACCAACTAAGAAAAGCCCAGGACCGGATGGGTATACAGCAGAGTTTTACAAAACCTTTAAAGAGGAACTAATACCAATACTTTTCAAGCTACTTCAGGAAATAGAAAAAGAGGGAGAACTTCCAAATTCATTCTACGAGGCCAACATCACCCTGATACCTAAACCAGACAAAGACACTTCAAAGAAAGAAAACTACAGACCAATATCTCTAATGAACCTAGATGCAAAAATCCTCAATAAAATTCTGGCGAATCGGATACAAAAACATATCAAAAAAAATTGTGCACCATGATCAAGTAGGATTCATCCCTGGGATGCAAGGCTGGTTCAATATACGGAAATCAATAAATGTTATTCACCACATCAATAGACTTAAAAATAAGAACCATATGATCATCTCGATAGATGTGGAAAAAGCATTCGACAAAGTACAGCATCCCTTTATGTTCAAAACTCTAGAAAAACTAGGGATAACAGGAACATACCTCAATATTGTAAAAGCAATCTATGCTAAGCCTCAGGCTAGCATCATTCTGAATGGAGAAAAATTGAAGGCATTCCCTCTAAAATCTGGAACAAGACAGGGATGCCCTCTCTCACCACTTCTGTTCAACATAGTTCTTGAAACACTGGCCAGAGCAATTAGACAGACAAAAGAAATTAAAGGCATAAAAATAGGAAAAGAAGAACTTAAATTATCACTATTTGCAGATGATATGATTCTATATCTAGCAGACCCAAAAGGCTCTACAAAGAAACTATTAGAGCTAATAAATGAATTCAGCAAAGTGGCAGGATTTAAAATCAACACGCATAAATCAAAGGCATTCCTGTATATCAGCGACAAATCCTCTGAAATGGAAATGAGGACAACCACTCCATTCAAAATATCTTCAAAAAAAATAAAATACTTGGGAATCAACCTAACAAAAGAGGTGAAAGACTTATACAATGAAAACTACAGAACCCTAAAGAGAGAAATAGAAGAAGATCTTAGAAGATGGAAAAATATACCCTGTTCATGGATAGGCAGAACTAACATCATCAAAATGGCGATATTACCAAAAGTTCTCTATAGGTTTAATGCAATGCCAATCAAAATCCCAATGGCATTTCTTGTAGAAATAGAGAAAGCAATCATGAAATTCATATGGAAAAATAAAAGACCCAGAATAGCAAAAACAATGCTAAGCAGGAAGTGTGAATCAGGCGGTATAGCGATACCAGACTTCAAACTATACTACAGAGCAATAGTAACAAAAACAGCATGGTACTGGTACCAAAACAGGCGGGTGGACCAATGGTACAGAATAGAGGACACAGAAACCAATCCACAAAACTACAACTATCTTATATTTGATAAAGGGGCTAAAAGCATGCAATGGAGGAAGGATAGCATCTTCAACAAATGGTGCTGGGAAAACTGGAAATCCATATGCAACGAAATGAAACTGAATCCCTTTCTCTCGCCATGCACAAAAGTTAATTCAAAATGCATCAAGGAGCTTGATATCAAATCAGAGACATGCCGTCTGATAGAAGAAAAAGTTGGCTACGATCTACATACTGTGGGGTCGGGCTCCAAATTCCTCAATAGGACACTCATAGCACAAAAGTTAAAAACTAGAATCAACAAATGGGACTTACTCAAACTAAAAAGTTTTTTCTCAGCAAAAGAAACAATAAGAGAGGTAAATAGGGAGCCTACATCCTGGGAACAAATCTTTACTCCTCACACTTCAGATAGAGCCCTAATATCCAGAGTATACAAAGAACTCAAAAAATTAGACAATAAAATAACAAACAACCCAGTCAACAAATGGGCCAAGGACCTGAACAGACACTTCTTAGAGGAGGACATACAGTCAATCAACAAGTACATGAAAAAATGCTCACCATCTCTAGCAGTCAGAGAAATGCAAATCAAAACCACCCTAAGATACCATCTCACTCCAGTAAGATTGGCAGCCATTATGAAGTCAAACAACAACAAGTGCTGGCGAGGATGTGGGGAAAAGGGTACACTTGTACATTGCTGGTGGGACTGCAAATTGGTGCAGCCAATTTGGAAAGCAGTATGGAGATTTCTTGGAAAGCTGGGAATGGAGCCACCATTTGACCCAGCTATTCCCCTTCTCGGTCTATTCCCTAAAGACCTAAAAAGAGCATGCTACAGGGACACTGCTACATCGATGTTCATAGCAGCACAATTCACAATAGCAAGACTGTGGAACCAACCTAGATGCCCTTCAATAGACGAATGGATAAAAAAAAATGTGGCATTTATACACAATGGAGTATTAGTCTGCATTAAAAAATGACAAAATCATAGAATTTGCAGGGAAATGGATGGCATTAGAGCAGATTATGCTAAGTGAAGCTAGCCAATCCCTAAAAAACAAATGCCAAATGTCTTCTTTGATATAAGGAGAGTAACTAAGAACAGAGTAGGTTTGAAGAGCATGAGAAGAAGATTAACATTAAACAGGGATGAGAGGTGGGAGGGAAAGGGAGAGAGAAGGGAAATTGCATGGAAATGGAAGGAGACCCTCAGGGTTATACAAAAGTACATACAAGAGGAAGTGAGGGGAAAGGGAAAAATAATACAAGGGGGACAAATGAATGACAGTAGAGGGGGCAGAGAGAGAAGAGGGGAGGGGAGGGGAGGGGAGGGGGGATAGTAGAGGATAGGAAAGGCAGCAGAACACAACAGACACTAGTATGGCAATATGTAAATCAATGGATGTGTAACTGATGTGATTCTGCAATCTGTATATGGGGTAAAAATGGGAGCTCATAACCCACTTGAATCAAAGGGTGAAATATGATATATCAAGAACTATGTAATGTTTTGAATAACCAACAATAAAAAATTAAAAAAAAAAGAAATAAATCACTGATAACTGAAGCTTAAAAAAAAAGATCAATAAATCTAATAACCAAAGGAAAATGAAACAAAGCATTAGTTAAGAACACTTTGGGTAAGTGACTTTTACATCTATAATGAAAACTACAAAGCATTATATAAAAAATTTAATAATATGGCAGCAATGTATTTTATAATGATTCCTGTCTTTATAAAATTCCTGTTACTGAAGATATCTAATTGTTTTCTCAAGTGTTATGATTATGTGTATAAGATAGTAATTTTTTTAATAAAAAATAATAAAATAAAATAAAATAAAATAAAAAGTACAGGGGTGGCAAGCTTCCCAGGAAGCAGTACCTGCTTTAGAGTAAGGAAAAGTCAATACTATGTAAAGTCAGCATGTATTGATTAGCTAATAACAACCCAGCTACACTAAACTTCTTATATAGAGATTGCTGATTTTAATCTTCATAGAACCCCTTGAAAGTAGATATTACTATAATTATTATCTTCATTTCATTTATGCATAAGATGAAAATGGGTGTGGCTAAGTAATGAAGCTAAAGGCAAACATCCAGTAAGGGTGGGCAGAGCTCTTCATCTACTTACTCTAGCTCTAGAATTTAGATTTTAAGTGGGAAGGAGTCTCATCATACCTCTAGTGGGTTGAACAGAGTTCTTCCAAAATTCTAGTTCACTCAGAACCTTATTCACCCAGAACCAAATAAGTGACCTTATTTGGAAATAGGGCCTTTGCACATGTAAATAGGACCTTGAAATTGAATCATTCTGGATTTAGAGTGAGCTTTAAATCTGAAAACAGAAGACCTTATAAGAAGAGAAGACACAGAGAAACAGAGAAGAAAGATAAAGGCAAAGATAAAGTTAAAGGAAAAGATGGGCATGATATATCTAAAAGCTGAGAATTATGAGGATTGTCACCAACTGCTCATAGGCAGGAAAGAGGCATGGGGTGATTTCTCCCTCATGGAAGGAACCAATCTTGCTGATCAATGTGGGTTTGGACTTATGGCCTCCTGATTTATAAGAAAATAAATTTGTTATTTTTTAAGTCACTCAGTCTGTTGTCATTTATTCTGGGAGTTTTAAGAAACTAATGCAATACCATTTGCTACAAAAGGAACATCACAATATGATTTAGGAGAATTTACTTATTAAACAATTTTTACTGTTTATATGGTTGTCAAGCATTTGGGCAAGAGTTATGGAAAAGATATATCATGCAAATATGAACCCTTTTTTAAAGACTGCAGTAGAGACTCTCATACATTAGGTACTTTTGGGTCAGGCCCTAATTCAAATTATTATTCTTCCCACCTTGATAAAGTAACTTAGGATTAAAACTTCTCATTGTCTTCTCCAAGTTTACACCTTTCTACCAATATCAGTTAGGACTAGATCCTCATTCCCAGTGAAAGAATAAAAGAAAGAACTTCATTAAGT